AGACAAGATTTTAATCTCAGCAAAGCTTTGGATAATCTGCTGGCACCTGTGTTTGCTGCTCTTCCACCTCATTGCACTGCTTAGATTGAGGACCAAAGGTTGGATCCTGCAAGTTGGTTTCTGGCAGTGGTCCTGCTTACGGAAGTAAGAGCCTTGGCAGGTGAGAGTTTAAAGTTTGTTAGGATCTGCCCCCCAAAAGTGTCACCTCTGAGGAAATGAGATCAGTGTCGTCATATTTTATATTCCTTTGGAGCCTCTTATTCTCTTTGTGAAGTACTGCACTAGTCAGCATTATTTGTTGTGGTACATATCATACCAATACATTATGCTGAGTTGCTTGAGGAAAAGGTGTGAAGTACGGGCAGCTCTGTCCAAGGGAAACAGGTAGAAAAGTATTAGCTAGGATGACTTTTGAGAGAATTTAGAAAGATTTTTCAGTGTACATTTAAGCCTCTGGACACATCAGCTTGCTTGTGCTTGCACAATACAAGCAAGCACAGATGTTTTCGATACTATGCAGATACCGTTACAGATTCCATGGAATCTTCTTGCTGCTGAGGCCTCTGTACCTGACTAAGATATGAACTCCATCTAACCAGTGTCACGTTTGTAAGAGTCTCTGCATCTCAAGGATAGAGAAAGAAATGTAAAAAACAAAAAGGTTTTACACATGATAATTTGGGCACACAGCGAATGGTGCTGTAAAAGGAAGTTATGTGGCTGGGCATAAGAAAAAAAAGAAAAAAGATGCATCTTACGTAGGTCTCATCCCCTTAAAAATGAACATTATCCATCTGGAAGGGTTAAAAATAACACCAGATCTCTCTCCTCCTTTAATTCTGTGATTCATGCCTCCCATTTTAAAGTCTACACCCTGTGAAGAGGAGGGCATTATCAAGGAAAGGAAAGAGCCTTGCCAGGGACAGAAGGTAATTTCCCGTAGCAGGTGCATACAGCAGGTGGTACACAGTGTACCTGCAACGAAAAGGTAGATTTAGGCTAAGATTTTATTTAATATGGAAAACTTATTGCATCCTGAGCCACTACTGGGGATGTGCCAAAAATCGTGTCTGCAGCATGATTTATTACGTGAAAATACCACTGAACTAATCAGTGGAGTTACTAATTAATACAAATCTGCATTTTTGCATAAGCAATTAGTGCAAAGAGAGTGCAATGAAAGAGGAAGTTTGACTCATTTAATCTCAGTGCCTATTCAAGCGGAAAGACCCACTAGGGTAAGGCACTAGGATCTACATTTGGATTTTTTTTTTCCTTTTGATTATTTAAAGGAACTAAAAGGTCAAATTATCAATATTTAATTCAAATGGAAATGCATTTGTTCAAGAGGAAGGAAAACACTTTATTTAAACAAGGTGGGACTCTGGGGGTAAATGCCTGCATCAAAAATAATTAGATTTTGCAGTTCTAACAGCATCTAAATCCCGTCTGATAAGAATCCTTTTTCCTAATAACAGAGGTGGTTTGACACTGACAGCAAAGACTGCTGATGCTATTTAAACTCTAGGTCGGGTGGTAGCTGGCCTACCAATACAATTTAGACATTTGCTTTAATGGTATGTACTTCTCTGATTTGTTTTGCTGGGGGGTTCTTGTGTTTTGGGTTTGGTTTGGTTTTTTTTTAATCAATTTGAATTATATTTTAAATCTATTGTGATTTCATAATTGTGTGCACTTGACTAAAAGAGTCATTTAAAAAGCTGATAATTAAAGCTTGGTAGTGATGTATTTTCCATTAACTAAATAGAAGTTTACATTTATAGAATTAAAAAAAAACAACAGCACTTCTCTAACGGGGGAAGGCTCAATAACATTAATACACTGAGTCTTAAGAGGGGGGACAAAAAGCCGAAAAGGCACCTTACTCGTTCGAGCAAATTTCGAGCCTAGCTGTACACCTATGACACGGAGACGGTCCAAGGTGCGGTGCAGACGCACCCCAGCACCACACTGACGCCAGAATGGGACTTTAAAGCGTTATTCTACCCGCTGATTTCTGAGCCAGGGTAGCTGGAGCAAGCTGGTTGCTGCTCGGAGCGGTCTGGACAGCATGAGATGGATGCAGCTGCCCTCCTCTCCCAAGCCCTTATTTGCAGAGGGGCAAGCAGAGGAGTCCTGCAATGGGGCCCGGCCGGCAATCCCGCCCGGCTCCCCACGGCGGCTCCTGGCCTTGGCACCGAGGTGTGGTGGGACGGGTGAGATGCGACAGAGAAGCTGCACCGACGGGGGCCGAGGGGGCAGGGGAAGCGGCTAGGAACACCTTCCCTTGTGTCTTAGTATTTTATTTATTTATTTTTTAATTTAGGATAACCCTCGAGCCTTGTGAGGGTGCCTCGCTGGAGAGGGAGGGAGGGAACGGGAGCCATGGCAGCGAGAGGAGCAAGCCCAAAGAGCCCGAGCTGCCCAGGCAGTAAATCACTCGCTAAATTATAAGCGCGGCTTCCTCTCTCCAATAGCTTTAAGCAATCTGGGGAGGCATCCTTTCCCCGCACTCTCGCAGGTGCAATATGAATCAATTATCTTAATTAAGATAATGCCGCAAACCCAAGAGATTTCCTCGGGAGCGGATTTCGCGCTCCGGACAACGACTCTAAGGCGTTTGCACAGCGCTGCTCCCCCCGCACCAACTCCCCTCTACTCCCAGCTCCCGCCCGGCCAGGCCAGGGCTCAGTTCCGGCAGCGCCCCACGCCACCGCCCGCCCCACCGGGCCCCAGCCCGCGTCAGAGCTTCTCCTCCTGCCGGGGCCCGAGGCAGCAGATGAGGAGGGAGCTGGCGGGGCCGAGCCGGGCCGCGGCTTTGTTGGGACGCGTGCGGTTCGCGTGCCGCGCTGCGGGAGAGGGGGGGGGGGGGAGAGGGCGAGGGCAGGGAGGCGGGGGAGAAAGGAGAGAGAAGGAAAAGAAAAGGGATAAAAGGCAAAAATAACAGAAATAAAAGAGGAAAAGGAAATAGGAAAAGGATTTTTTTTAAAGAAAAAGGAAAATAATAAAGGAAGGGAAAAAGGATTTTTTTTAAAGAAAAAGGAAAATAATAAAGGAAGGGAAAAAAGGAAAACGGAAGGGAAAAAAAGAAAATGAAAAGGAAAAAGAAAGAGGATTAGGGAGGAAAAATAAGCAGAAGCCGAATTAGAAGCCAGATGGAGAAGGAGGAGTCTGTAGGTCAGGGAGAAAAAAAGGCACGCTTGGAGCGATAAAATCAAGCGGCTGGGGGGAGAGGAGAGGCAGGAAAGGTGGGAAACTGGAGCCGCGGAGCCAGAGGACGGCCCGAGCGGGGAAAGCAGAGCCGACTGCCTGAGACATCGAGAGGAGAAGCAGCTGGAGAAGCTGCCGGAGCGGTCAGAGGAGCGGGAAGGATGAAGCCGGTGCGGCGGCGAGCCTTGCCACAACGGAGCACAGCGCCCGGCCTCGGCCCCGACGGGCTGCAACAGGGAGCGCCTTGTACCTGCCGGACAGGCTCTTCCACGGCCACACGTGTCCCTCGCCCAGCGCCGCCGGGGAGGAACCGACCCCCCTCGGCAGGCTCTGGCCCTCCTGCGTCCCCGCCTGCCTCTTTGTCTGCACACTTAGCTGTCTACCCACAGTTTGTTGACTTTATTTTGCTCTCCGGGAAGCTGTTTGTGTGAACGCTCCCAGAGGCACACGACCACCCCGAAGCTCTCACCGTCACCGGGATTCAGCTTCCTCCCGGTGTCCTTTGCCTGGTGTTCCCCCCACGCTCCCGGATGTATTCATAGCCAGTCCCATCCAAACGCGGGGGACATTTTCCAGCAGCTGAGACGGGGCTGGTCCAGCCCCATTCTTCTCCCTCATACCTGTCCAAACCAAGTCCGCTCCGGCAGCGGGGACTGGCGCTCCCGAGGGAGCGGCGGGCCTGGCGGGACACCCTGCCCATCCTCCCGGGGCTCGGGCATCCTCCGGACCCGAGCCCCTACCTGGGGGCAGCTCTGCGGCCGGAGAGGGGCTCGCTGCAGGCAAGGGCTGCCGGTAGGCTGGCAGGCACCGGCGCATTCCCCCCGGCCGTGCCCCAGGGAAGAGCCTCAGCCGCCGGTGACACGAGCGCGCCCTGCTCCAGCCCGGCTGGTCCGACGCGACAGCCCCTCGCCTCGCACGGGAAACCGGCCAGCTTGGAAGTAACAAAACGCAGCCCGTTGCCCTCTGTGTTTGATTACCGAGGAGGCAAACATCACTACCACTACCACCACCACCACCACCACCCCCCGGAGTCCCCTCCCGCCGCCCCGGCAGCCCCAGGGCTATGTAGGTCACGAACGGGAGGGAAACGTTTTAAAAATAACCCGACCTGGAAAAATATCTTTCAAATCTGTCTCCGCAAGGCGGAATTACAGGTTCCGTAAGAGGCGGTTTTAATTACGGTTTAAAATTATTTCAATTAAATCTCCAGATAAAGCGTGCCGGTAGCAAAGCTCCCCCCGTCACCCTGTAAGGGGGTATCTCCCCCTTTCAAGCACAGCTCTATAACTCGCTGGTGTTTGCAAACTCCGCCGGGGCGTTTAAAGACTTTAAAGCCGCCGCTCAGCATCTTTAGTTCAAACTCCCCTCGTTAACCGGCGGTAATTCCATCAAAAACCCGGGGAAAGCGAAACACACCGAGGGGCACAGCAGCCCAGAAGAACCACAGCGGGGGAGTCCCAGGGGGGTCAGAGGCGCCCGTTAGGGGCGAGGGGAGGTCGCACCCTCGGAACAATGGGAACAATGCGGCTCCCCAGCGGCGGAGGGGCTGGCGAGGTGCGGAGCTCAGCGGCACCGCTCCGCACCTCGCCCTCTCCGTCGCCGCCTCCGGGGGGCCGCCCGGTGACAGATGGCGACTCAACGGCCGCATACAAATAAGGGGTGTAACGTAGAAGGGGGGGGTGAAACGACGCCCATCACCACTGCCGCCGCGCCTGACGTGGGCAGCCATATGGCGCGTGCCACCGGGCGGGGCGGGGCGCGGGGCGGGGCGCAGGCCCGTTTTGGGGCGGTGGCGATCGCCGGGGTACCCGGGTCCCGGTGCCGGCCCCCTTCCCGCCGCGCATTCTCGGTCCCGCTATATAACGGGAGGAGCCCGGCGCTGCGCAACCTCGGGAAAAAAAAAACCAACCCACAACACCAAAACACACTGCTCGCACGGAGGGCTGTGCCGGGGTTATGAGACAGTCACCGCGCAGGAGAGGCTGAGCAACAGAGGTAACGGGAAAATGGGTTGTTTCCGCACTCCCCCATCCCTCCGAGGGAAAGGGGTTAGCGGCGGCTACCGGGGTGGGAGAGGAGTCTGCGGGGTCGACAGGTATAGTCGCTTGCGGTCGCGGGAAGCGACGGTCGCTCCCACCGGTGCGTGCGGGCAGCTGTGAGTGGGCACACCTGTGTCCGTCCATCCGCGCGCACACATGTGTGTGTATACACATATATGTATATGCACAGGTGCGTCCATACACGCATAGAAATACGCATATGTGCGTGCACCTGTGCGCGCATATATTATACATGTATATGTGTTTCCACCTGTGTCCCCCCAACTTCAGCTCCCTCTCCTCCGCAAAGGACAGTCGCACGGCTGCCGGGCGGCATTGTTCCTCCCCAGTGTGCCCGATGCCACCGGCGGACGGTTGCAACCCCTCCCGCAAGGGCCCCGCCGGAACCAAGGGGACGATGACGGTCTGCTGTGGACAGGGTGATGGACACGAAAAGCAGGGGCTGGTCCCGCACCTGTTACCGCCGCTCGGCACAACCCAGCCGCGGGCACCCAGCGGCAATCCTGCGGGCGGCAGCGGGACCGGGAGAGGCTGAGCAGTGTGGGTCGGGGGAGCAGATGCCCTGTGCCCGTCGGGGCGGTGCAAAGCCCCGTGCAAGGAGGTGACGAAGGGGAGCCGCAGAAAGCGGCGGCGACAGGCTAGAGGGGTGGCCATCCTCCCCTGCGGCTGTTCTGTGCGTGTTCCCCCGCCTTTTCCCCTCCGTATTCATCAAAAGGGGTGTCATTTGGGGTGGATTTTTTTTGTGTGTGTGGTTTTTTTTGTTTGTTTGTTTGTTTGGATTTTATTTGTTTTAAACCTTCCCGGTCTGCTGTCGCCCTGCCGCCCGGGCTGCCCCACGCACACGTAATCTGCTTATATTCCCCACTAATATCAGCGAGTTACATAACGGCATTGGAACATATGTCAACTTGATTATAAGGCAGGACCGCGGAGACAATTGAAACTTTGCGCTGGCACCGTGGGGAGGCCGGGGCTTCCCTCGGGAGGGGACAGGGGGAGCAAGGAGGGGGGATCGCGGGCAGCTTTCCCCCCCACCGCGGGTCGTTGATCGGGGCCGCGGCTGCCTGTCCTGGTGCTGACACGGCTCTTTTCTGTCTCCTCCGCCACACAGAGGCTCGCCATGACCAAGTCGTACAGCGAGAGTGGGCTAATGGGCGAGCCCCAGCCCCAAGGCCCCCCAAGCTGGACTGACGAGTGCCTCAGCTCCCAGGACGAGGAGCACGAGGTGGACAAGAAGGAGGAGGACCTGGAGGGTCTGCACGGAGAGGTGGAGGAGGACTCTCTGCGGAACGGTGAGGAGGAGGACGAGGAGGACGACTTGGACGAAGAGGAGGAAGAAGAAGAGGAGGAGGAGGACGACGACCAGAAGCCCAAGAGACGTGGCCCCAAGAAGAAGAAGATGACCAAGGCACGTATGGAGCGTTTCAAGCTGCGGCGCATGAAGGCCAACGCCCGGGAGCGCAACCGCATGCACGGCCTGAATGCAGCCCTGGACAACCTGCGTAAGGTGGTGCCCTGCTACTCCAAGACGCAGAAGCTCTCCAAGATCGAGACCCTGCGCCTGGCCAAGAACTACATCTGGGCACTCTCCGAGATCCTGCGCTCGGGCAAGAGCCCCGACCTGGTCTCCTTCGTGCAAACCCTCTGCAAGGGCCTCTCGCAGCCCACCACCAACCTGGTGGCCGGCTGCCTGCAGCTCAACCCGCGGACCTTCCTCCCCGAGCAGAGCCAGGAGGTGCCGCCGCACGTGGCGGCGGCGGGGCCGCCCTTCCCGGCTCACCCCTACCCGTACCAGTCGCCGGGGCTCCCCAGCCCGCCCTACGGCACCATGGACAGCTCCCACCTCTTCCACCTCAAGCCGCCGCACGCCTACGGCGCCGCGCTGGAGCCCTTCTTCGAGAGCGGCCTGGCGGAGGGCGCCAGCCCCGCCTTCGACGGGCCGCTCAGCCCGCCCCTCAGCGTCAACGGGAACTTCTCCTTCAAGCACGAGCCGGCCGCCGACTTCGACAAGAGCTACGCCTTCACCATGCACTACCCGGCCGCTGCCGCCACGCTGGCCGCCGCGCCGTCCCACGCCGCCATCTTCCCGGCCGCCGCTTCCCGCTGCGAGCTCCCGGTCGACGGCCTGGCGCCCTACGAGGGACACCCGCACCACGAGCGGGTCCTCAGCGCCCAGCTCAACGCCATCTTCCACGACTGAGCCTCCCCCGACCCGCCGTGGGACGGGGAAGGGAAGAGCCGAGCCCGCCGGCGGCCACCGCCTTGTTTGCAGTCCTCGGAGCGACGCTGTAAACGCGGGGCAGCGGCACCGGGATCGCGCCAATTACCTGATCGGGATAACAAAATCACAAGCAATAATTAGGATCTATGCAATTTTTAAACTAGCGATGGGCCAATTACAAAATATATATGAAATCTCTATTTTTCAACCAACGTTTTACTACTTGTTACCTTTCCCATGCTGAATTATTTTGTTGTGATTTTGTACAGAATTTTTAATGACTTTTTATAACGTGAATTTCCTATTTTAAACCATGCAGCTTCATCAATTTTTATACATATCGGAAAGGTAGAATTATATCTAATTTATACAAAATTATTTAACTAATTTAAACCAGCAGAAAAGTGCTTAGAGAAGTTACGTTGCCTTAGCACTTCTTTCCTTTCAAATAGTTGAAGAAGAAAAAAAAGAAATGCACAATCCAGGCAATTTCTTTCCCATGGAAGTCTCTTTTCTTTCTTTTTCTTTTTTTCCTTTCCTTTTCTTTTCTTTTTCTTTCTCCTCACCCCCCCCCCCCCCCCCCAGCAAGAACCAGATCCCCTAGGTCTTGAGAAGATATAAGAACGAGAGACTTATTTTCTATTAAAACATATCAATTCAATACATTACTTGCACAAACTTGTATATAAAGATTATAAGCAAATGCCAACACCCTTTTTAAATCAAAAGCTGCTTGACTATCACATACAATTTGCACTGTTTCTTTTTAGTCTTTGAAGCTCTTGGCATTGCGTGGTTTTTCTGAAGAGAACTTGAAGATGTTAATGTTTCCAGGCGATATAAATGCATGATTTTATACATGTTCACACAATCCGTGGTTGTCATATGCTCATCTTTTAAATCGGAACCTAAAACTAATCAGGTTGTTAAAGTCGGGCTATATACCTATTGTAGTCGATTAGTACGGTAGCTTGAAACAAATTCAGACCATTTAATCCGTAATTAGAACAATAGCTATTGCATGTACAATGCAGTCCAGAATAAGTGCTGTTTGAAATGTAACGCTGGTTCAACTGGAATCAATCTGTACTGTAATTTTGTTTGTAATCCTGTATATTATGGTGTAATGCACACTGGGATTTTAGGAAAACATCCATCCTTTGGCAACAACATAGTATTGAACATTTGGTCGAATGTTGCATTTCTCCTTAAATGTGATTATTATTTTTTTCTTAGTGTAAGTAATTCCTATGGGATTATTGTTTTATTCGGATAGCTCATGAAAGGTGCAACACTTATTATTTGTAGAATAAAATTGGACTAAAAAAAAGGGACATGGGTTCTTTACTTACCTTGAGGGGTTTCGAGAGAAAGAGGGAAGATGGGGCGGGATTTTGTTCGTTTACTTTACAGCGGAGCGGGCCGTTTGCAATGCTGAATTGTCGAATTAGGGAAACAGGGACTCGAAATGCCGCTCGCCAGGGAGCTGTGGGTACCGGTTTGAGCAGCGCCGAGTGCCCCGCGCTCGCCCCAGCTCAGCCCCGTGTCCCCTCTCAAATTACGGAGGGAGCGCCCGTCCCGTGATACCGGCGAGGCTTCCCGCGCCCAGCCGAGCCTGGCACACAGGGAAAATGCTGTTTCAGCCCCGGCAGCAGGTGCTCCTTCCCCCGCCAGCCAGCCCTGGATCCGGCGCTATCGATTCGCCGTCTCCCCTCCTCCCAGACGGGAAACATGTGTTTCTTTAATCTTCACTGATTATTCTGGGGCTTAAGGAACCCAGAGACACAACCTGCGGGAGAGCAATTCCCCTAATGACCAGGAGCAATTAGCAACAGGTCTTTGCCTCCTACGGTCAGAAGCAGACTAAAGAGGTTCCCTGAAATACCTTAAATGAAGTCTGTCACAAAGAGGAAGGGGCTTTCATAAATATTTCACTTAAATCCAGCAGAAAGTGAACAGGCTCTCCTGTGGGTGAGAGCATTATGTTTTCCTAGAAGAAATCAAGCTGAAGTCTATTTTAAAGGTGTTTATAGCAATGGAAATCCAACGCGTAAGCGTTGCAAACCTGCACTAGTACTACCTCACCCTTGCTGCCGGTCTTCCCTGCTAAAAACATGACAGGAATTCATCGCGACACCGGTTCTGCCCGAGCTCGCAGTTCCGCACTCCCAAACTGTTGCTGTATCTGAAAAGCTAGCAGGCAAAAGCCAACTTTTCGAGCACCCGATGAACCTGTCCTAGTCAGTGGCTACTCAGCTAAATATATCCTGGGTAACCTGAGGGAGGGAGGGGAATGAATGACACTTTTCAAGATAAAATTGAAAAAGGTGACCCACGCTTGCTTGCTTTTTTGGTTATGCGCCTTCTTCTTGAACATAAGGATTCTTCTAGTCAGTCAAGGGGCAACTCGCATGCCACCATCTTTTATTCAAAGGCAGGCACAGATGTTCCTTCTGCAGGGGAGGTTTTAATTTATGAAAATTATATTGTTTATGCATGAATGCACTCTGCATAACACACAGTCCTTCCATCTGATGAGAGAAATACCACAGAACCAGTGCCAATGTCAGGAACATATTCTGCAAATTTAGACGCTTAAATGTTTAATGAATATTTGGAAGGCATTTCCAAACCACAAGAAACCTTTTCAATTACCTTTACTTTTTTTCCATGATTAATAACAAAATTCAACTCCTCTAGCCAGTGCAGTTTACTTAAAAGATCTGCCTAGGCTATCTGAACATTTGCTACTGTCATACAGTAGAGAGAATGATATTTTAATGTTATGAGCAACCTAATAAGGAAAATTAATTAGGCATCTTGGTAACTACAGGCTCCATTTTACAAATTACTTGTGAATTTTGTTATTTCAATTAGTTTAGTTCCTCCCCCCCTTTATAAAATATTGGAGATCTTCTCCCCCACCTATTGCTGCTGCTTCTGATGCCTCTGTTATAATTTTCTCACTGTTAATATCAAGCCAAATCTTAAAATCTCTGCTCATGACTCCCCCACAGGAAGGTCTATCAAGGTCTCTTTCAAAGGAGAGAATTACTCACACTGTTCTTCTCCTATGAACATATCACTAATTACCTAAGACTATAGTAGGATTATCCAACTTCCACATGCAGAGGTAACTCTGGGGTTGTGTTGTATCCGCACATGTATTGGGTCACTCAGTACAGGCCTAGGACTCTATTTTTACTTGGCTTGTTGGACTTCCCCTTCTTTGTGCTCTGCTTCTGACAGCAGAAATTGTTCTGCCACCAGGGCAAGCTTGAGAAGACCCTGATGAAATCTCTACAGGTACAGCGCATGAGTAACAAGCACAACTTGTTGTTTTTCCTTTCTTAGTGATCTGAAGCAAGAGTAGAATGTCTAGAGGTTATGGATCCATCATTGACCATGATACAGCTGAGGCCCAGCTATGGCAGAAGGATCTGAAGTGGTGGAATTACAGGTTAT